CAGCCCAGTACTTGGGAGGCTGGAGCAGGAGAGTACGCTTGAGTCCAGGGAGTTGTGAGGGTTGCTGTGGCTAGGCGACGCCACGCGCACTCTAGCTCGGGATACAAAGTCGAGATCTGTCTCAAAAAAAAAAAAAAAATAAAAGGGGTTTCTCTTCCAAAACTACTCCTTTTGTGAATTTCCTAAAAACTACCTTTAGATTTCTAGAAAAACAGATTATCAACAAGGGAAGAAGTCAAAGACAATGCGGATAGATGGAGCAATCAAACCACTTCTAGGAAAAAGAAACCGCAAGTGCATGTACTAATGCGAAATGTAGACTGAATTGACTATGGTTTTATAGACAGCAGGCCTCTTCTTTGATAAAATGAGCCAACACATGGTAAAAACTGGCCAGAGCGAGCCTATCTGACTCAAACATCTTGCAAACCTTCAGCTCCGGACTTTGCTTCCCCACTAAAATGAATTTTCGAAAATTTGTACCTTTAAAGGAAATATGCAAGACAGGTAAAGCAAAACACACACTGAATCACTGTCGAATTTTAAAGCGCTTCGCTTTCTTTACAATGGTCGTTCCCCTTTCAACGATGCTCTAAAACTGCAAACCAATCATACATACACATCCAAGCCCCAGTGAATCAAGTTAACATGAAAGCCCAAACATTCTATCTTAAAGTATAATAATAATATCTCAGTTTATGAATTTTGATAGAATAAACCTCAATAACAAAGCAATAATGAACTTCCTCTTCCTAGCAGATAGATAAGCAGCTGGTATTTATGCTACATCGAACACCAACAAATATAATAATGATGACTGCAAACACTGTACACATTCGACAAAGAAGCTACACCCAAGTACGGGAACAAGATGCAGATCCCTCACGCGCCCCAGAGTCACTGCAAGAGATACGTTTTCAGGAAGAAATTGGGAGGTATAAGGTTGTCAAGGTGCGGTATCAACACATTAGAACGATTAAAACTAAAATATACTCACACCGCTGTACAGGCGATAAAAAATCTCGGGGCTACAGGCATGCGCCACCATGCCCGGCTCATTTTTTCTATCTATTTTTAGTTGGCCAATTAATTTCTTTCTATTTTTTAGTATAGACAGGGTTTCACTCTTTTTGTTGTTGTTGTTGTTGAGTTTTTCCCTACGGGCCCGTTCTGTGTGCTCCACTGGGCATGGAGAATTTTGCTCTTACAGCAGCTGTTCCAGACTGTGCAGTCATTATTCCAGACTTTTCTAGAATGTTCCAGACTGTTCCGGACTGTACAGGTTTACTTGCCTGTATCTGCCCTAATTCGCTCAGGATAGGGACCGGGTTTACCTTATGTGCTTGATACTTAGTGTTTGGCGCGTTCTAATGCCTCAGTGAGAATCCCAGTGAATTATTGACTAATTTCAAACCTTCCAGAACGTTCCTGCAACCCTTGTGTAGCTCAGCGTTTGTAATCGTTTTCATCGTTTGCACCCTGTCTTTCCCTAGGCTGTTAAGAATGAAGTGAATGTTCCCTGTTTGAAAAATTTTGTGGAGATGCTCTACCAGACTACTTTTGAACTGAGCTCCAGAAAGAAGCATTCGTTGGTATGAAGATGCCTTTCGAAACCTTTCCTTATTCCCCTGACAGCTTTAGTAACTGATTTACGGATCCGGTGGAGGTTTAAGAGAACTGCAAGGTCGGAAATTGGACAGTCCCCAAAGTGTGACACAAGGGCACATGTTACATGTGTATTTTTCTCTTGCTTTGCTTTATACTTTCAAAATTTTACTAGCTCTGCATTTGATGGGTTATCAGATTTCCTCTTGGGTAGGCATGGGTCGCTTAATGGCAGGGATTTGCTCTGGGAATTGTGTTGTCAGGCAGCTAATCCATGAGTGAACGTCACAGGGTATATTCATGCAAGCCTAGAGGTACAGCTTACTAGACACCTAGGCTATCTGGTATAATCCATTGCTCCTAGACTACAAATTTTATAAGTGTGTTACTGTAGTGAATACTGCAGGCAACTGTAACACAGTGGTGTGTGTGTGTGTATCTAAACATATAAGCATAGAAAAGGTACAATAAAAATATAATTTTAGGCCAGGCGTGGTTGCTCCCGCCTGTAATCCTAGCTCTCTGGGAGGCCGAGGCGGGCTAATTGCCGAGGTCAGGAGTTCGAAACACCTGAGCAAGAGCGAGACCCTTGTTCTCTATATAAATAGAAGAAATTACTTGACCCACTAATATATCTACGGAAAAAAGAAATGAGCCGGGCATGGTGGTGCATGCTGTAGTCCAGCTACTCGGGAGGCTAAGGCAGGAGGATCGCTTGAGGCCAGGAGTTGGAGGTTGCTGTGAGCTGTGAGACTCTGTCTCAAAAAAAAAAAAAAAAAAACCTTAAAATCCAGAGATACAGATTATATGGAGGTGTTTCATGGGTAGGTTATATGATATTTTACTGTGATTATTAACTACACGGTAATGGCGCTATATTGATGATATTACATGAATAAAGAAATCCTATTATTTCTCCTTCAGGAACTTGTAATTTTAGAATACATGAACAGCCAATTCAGAATAACAATTTTCTTTTCCTCTCTGTTTTTCTTGTAATTTTGATGAGGGTGGAGAAAGATGATATTTAGGTAACACAGTTTTTGATTTTACCTTTAAATATCATGTGGGAAATTTTAGTGTTTTTAATTCAGGTCAGATGATGTCTCCGTGTATATTAAAGGTTTCAGGCTGTGAGAAAGAAGTTTGTGACAGAATTGAAAGAACTGCGACAGAAGGAACAGAGCCCACACGTGGTACAAAGCGTTATCAGCTTAATAATGGGAATGAAGTTTTTTCGAGTAAAAATGTATCCTGTAGAAGATTTCGAAGCATCATTTCAGTTTATGCAGGTGAAATAACTTCTCCGTGATTGTAAACAGAATTAGCCTATCCCATCTTGCTCTTTATGACTTTTTAAAAAGAATCAAAATACGCATAAACCAATGGCATCATCATTAATTTCTTATTCCAAGTGTTAAATTGTCTCATGTGTGGATTGACTTTAGCTTTTTTTTTTTTTTTTGATCTGAAGATGCATTGATTGACCTTAGTTTTTTTTGATGAAAGGGCAGAGTGTTCACAAAATTATCGTGATATTACAAATTCTTTAACCTTTCCTCTTTTTTTTGTTAACCAAAGTGTACCTTTTTCCTTTCAAGGAATGTGCTCAGTATTTCTTAGAAGTAAAAGATAAAGATATAAAACATGCACTTGCTGGTTTATTTGTGGAGATTCTTATCCCTGTAGCTGCTGTGAGTATATTTTATTTTAATACGATTTATGTGTTGTATACGAACCTTACAACCTTATACTTCCGTTTCTTCCCTGAAAACTATCTCTTGCAGTGACTTGGGGCCGTGGGAGGGCTCATCTCATTTGTTTCCCAGTACTTGGGTGTTACTTTCTTTTGTCGACTGGTGTACAGTGTTTTGCAGATCATTTTATATATTTTGTTGGTTGGTTCAGATGGTAGCATAAATCCAGCCCCCTCTACTCTAATCTGGGCTAGGAATGGAAGTTCATTACATTCTTTTTATTGAGGTTTTATTCTATCCAAAATTTCATAAAATGAAGATATTTATTATTATATGTTAAGAGATAGAATGGTTTGGGCTTTCATATTTAAACATTGGATTCACTGGCTTGCGACCTGTGTATTTGTATGAATTGGTTTGCATGTTTCGAAAAGGGGAACAGACAATTGTAAGAAAAGCGAAGCCTTTAAAATATTGACAGTGATTCATTGTGTGTTTTGCTTTACCTGCCTTGCATATTTCCTTAAAGGTGAAATTTTGAAAAATTCATTTTTAGTGGGGACAGACAGAAGTCACGGACTGAAGGTTTGCAAGTGGTTTGAGTCAGATAGCTCCTCATGCCAGTTTTTAGCCATGTGAATTGGGCTCATTTTATCAAAAAGAAAACAGGCTGCTGTCTATAAAACCATGTCAATTCTAGTCTATTAACAGATTATCAGACAAAGGGAAGAAGTGCAAATGACAATGTGGGATAGATGAGCAGCAATTCAAACCACTTCAGAAAAAGAAACCGAAGTGCATGTACTAATGACAATA